GAAGATGAACACCACGACGGGGAATGTATCTTTTGCGCGTGCCTCCGTTGTAGCTCGAGCCAACGAATCATAATAGCCCCCCTGTCGATCGCCGATAAACGATAAGCCCGTCAAGCGAGAAAAAACGAAACCCCACCTGAAATGACCACCTTTCAACGACCTTTTGTTCCTCTCGTGTTGGGTTATTGTCACTTTCGTTCGTACACTATTGCCCACCTATGTCGATCGACGGGAAAAAAGCAAACAAGATCGGTAAGGTGTATAGGCGAAAAATCGCGCCTCCGCGCGTGAAAGCGCGAGTGTGGCTCGGAACAATTAGAGTTGGGTGATGTTGTCGCCGGCCGACCCACTTTCAATTGTAATGCTTCGATATCGAAGGGAAGGAAAAGGAGGATTATCATCGTGTGTATATATATATCTCGAAGGATTAAATGTATACGTGTGCTGGGGTGACAGTGAGAGCAGCATACACCATCTGAGAGTTTTTCTCAATCTGTGCAGTGTGTAGGATATAGTTGTATGGATACGTGGACGGCGGGGGGTATATTGGAGTATTAGTGTAGAGAAACACACCTCCAAGGATCTTCTCTAACGGTACAAAGTTTTATACATTATCATGTACGTACAAAATGTTATATTTTATATACAGGTATGTATAAACAGTATATATGTGTCTTGTGTTCGCGCTGCGTTTGGTTCTCTGACGGACAGCTGATTTAGGTTTTTCGAGCGTGTACTTTCATGTTGTATACATAGGGTACGTGTGTAATAGCGGTGAGAGGTGACTTTAGCGAAAGCAATCTCTTTTTCCTATTTGATGGAAACTTTTTTTTTCTTCTTCTATAGTTTAAAGCTTGTTTAGATTGTTCGACAAAATTTTCAATCAAGATTACTATTTGTTCGAGCGAGTGTCGATCCAAAGTCTCAACTCATTGTTAATGAATTTTCCATTGACTATTAGGTGTATCCTGATCCTTTTCATCAATAAACCAGATACCTCGTGAATGTCAAACATTCGGTATATTTCGATCAACAAACCGTCCCTTCTCACAGGATCGCACCATCTGAACCAGAGCACCTTCGAGGAGAAAAAAAAAGTTTCTCTTTGCGGAAGCGCATTCCATTAATCGAAAAGGGAATGCAGCTTATCGATGACCATCGATCTTGTAGAATTCACGCGAAGGGCGCGTTAATGACACTTTCACCACGGCGTAATTTAGTAATTAGCCGGGTATGCTCTGCTGCTCCTTTCGATGATTATTCCACGTCTTGAGTAAACTCGGCGAAAGGCTTGTTTCGTCCTTTCTTATCGATTTTTTTTTTTTTTTTTTTTTTTNACATGGCTCCGAATCCGCGTGCGTCGAGAGCAAAGAGCAGGAGGAGGAGGATTTTGTAAGGTGTTGCACTTGAACTTTCATATTCGCGATTTATTCGTGTAAAATTCTTTTTTGAGACAATGCGAGGATTGATGCTGTTATAAATACGTTGTTGCAGTATTTACGTGCCTTTTTTGATGGATGACTATACTTTATAAGTAATTTGAAGACGATTAAGAGTTTGGCAGTTTTTTTTCAATGCTTATAGTTCTCCATCTAATGAAAGATTTAATTGATTCGTATGCACTGCAAACAAAAAAATTAATCTGGAAGTGTTGTGTTGTAGTTATCAGAAAAAAAATACGAAAAAGCATCAAACGTGTACCTATAAAAAATATAAAAAGATTCCAAAACAATTGGCCTTGTCTTCCGTAAATTGCCATTGCACAGTAAAAATACCATCTTCAGAATCAATAAACTCTACGAAACCTAATTCACTTTTTTGTTTGTCACAAAAACTGCTGCAAAGTAATCGACGCATAAAAATCAACCTTAATAATTGAGGGCAAAGATAACGAGAAAAAAAAAAGGTGGAAGTATAAGTGGAAGAAACGTAACCGTTAGTGTCACCATAGCGACACGTAAGAGCGGCCGCAGCGATCGCGTAACAATATTACACGTCCACGACGTGTCTCAAGTTGACACGCATATAATATACAAAAGTATGGATTCAGGAAAAAAAAAGAGAGGCAACGTGGGCGAGTCCTCGTACCTCACATTAACGAGCGCCGAGATGTTGCTGCTGCCTCGAGTGTACATAATTATATACAAGTATACGGGAAATCATGCTAATGCAGCCAAATATTCGGTTCAGGGTTATACAAACAATGGGGCGGTGGGAGAGCTTTCGTATAGGCTGAGCTTATTATTTTGAAATGAAACGTTTTCGAGAATGCGTCAGGTATGGAGATGAATCCTATACATCATACGTACAAATTTTTTTTCGGGGGGTTAAAGTTTTATCGTGTCCTTTGTCTGATTGAAGGATGTTATCAATTTATGTAAAAATGTTAGGTTCGTTGGACCGATGGACTCTACGTATTTTTATCACAAGCGAGAGACAGTACAAAGGGTTATTCTGATGTTCTTTCGAAATTCACCGACTAATCTGCATTGCATTATGGGTTTCCATTTACGTAACTTAAAATGTCTGTCTCTCCGCCGTATGGCTGCCGTAGTATAAAAGTGTGTGATTCATATAATCGGAAAATTTATGATTTTCACTCAATAAAGCTTTTTGTACGGCTTCATTACGAACACACACCTATGTCTCGGCGCGTTTGTGAAATGAAACACAAATCAGTTTCCACGATGCAGTAAAGTGGAAAACATTCAAATTCGAATCCGTCACAGGTGAAATCTCATTTAATTGAATGGCACGGCCGGTAGTCGAGGGAGCCTTGAATAACGCAAGTGTGTAACTTAATCACTCGACTAGCTCAGCTGTACGGAATTGGGCAATATCGAACTCTGGAGATTTTTCACGTTATGACTGTCGGAGGAATAAATTTCCATTCGAATGAGATGGAAAGAAAAGAAAAAAAAAACTTTGCGTATACATGCACAAAATCCTTTATGAATCACTGCATTCTTAAATAATCCGTAGCAAGTTGCACACGCGAGCCATTGGCTTCGAAGCAATAAACAAGACGTGTAATAATTTTTTTGTTAACCATCGATATGTGTAGCAACTCCGGTTTTATTGGAAATTTCAATCAATACGCATTGGGTAATAATAATCGATGAATGTGGCAACCAAGCCAGTCGAGTCCGAATGACCTACTAGAATGAAATAATCTCTAATTCTAAGTGTACGTGTTTCACGGTGAATTCTTGGGCAATAAAAAAAAAAGGTCGGATATTCAAAGGCGTCGATCGGACGAGTCGTCAAACGAAATTATACCCAATACCGGAACGACGCGATGGATTTCGACACGTGCATCTGCGCCGTGTGTACTTTCCGTTTTTCTCTCTCGTTAGGTTTGACATAACTGATTGCATCGGTGTGTTAACGATGTCTCATTGTCGCGCCTCGTTTTGTCTTTTGTCTCGCAAACGAAGAGTCCTTTTGTCATTATTCGACGGAGAAAAAAATATACATCTAAATGCCCACTTTCTGCGTTGAGCACTTACATTTATCTTATTGGTATGCATTTCATCACTGGCAAATATGCATTTTCTTTAGCACTCAGGGCCATGTAAATGACTCAGACACGAACGCGTAAAGGTATATATATCCAGTAAAAATGTCCAATTAATCTAGATGCGATTTTTACATGACTGAAATTACACGGTAACGATATCTCTTGTGCACACGTAAGTAAGCGAAAATCGTAGAAACTTCTTATCCCGCACAATAACTCCTGTAAGTACTACACAATTATGCGCTAATGCAACTCGAAAATGTGGGCGAAAAAAGATGGCCCATACGTAATTGGAAACACCAAAACGCTTCGAAGCAGCCGCGCGCTCGAGGTCGGCCAGAAAAAACCGGGGAATCCCCGCGTCTTGGAAACAAAGTCCCGAGCGCGCCCCGACCTTAGATCCAATTAACTCCCGCTCTTAATTCGCGTACGAAAAGTCTCATCACAAGAGTGGGGGAGGAGCAAAAAAGGACAAATTTCTCCTCGTACGTGTACATACATTCTGGATGAACCCACGTAATATCGGCACCGTACAGCGTGTATCAACAAGTACCTCCTCCTCCTCCTCCTCCTCCTCCTTTGCTCTTCTCTCTCGAATCAATTTGCCGTAATCTCCGAGCTCCAGCTGTGGTTTATCATCCTTGGCTCGTAACCTCATTTTCAAAGACGCTCGCCGGACCTTCTTTCGCGCGCTCCTTGCCCGTGTACACAAATATAATATGGTGTTGCACGTATACACACGGGAGAGGTCAGCGCTTGGGTGTACACACATTTGTATGTGTATACACGTGAAATCGATGTTAACCGATTAGCAGCCAATGTGATGGAGAAGACGAGATAGAAGTAGGTACTTACCGGAGCTAAAAGGAGGGAGTATCCCCGGTACGTGCTATCTCGCGAGCGTGAGGTCAACGTTACGGAATTTATTTAGTGGTTCGTGAATTTCCCCCCTCCCCCACCGTTCCCGTAAAGACACTTTTTGTTACACGGTTCTCGAGTTCACAAGGGGACGATGCCTTTTTGATTTACGCTCGTTTTGGGGGCGTTTCGATCCTTTTCGTACCTTCGGGACGTGAAAAATTCGACGCTATTATCGTTACGCGATGCTCGCGCTGATAATGTAAGAGTTGACCCACAAATTAACGACGTGCAGGAACAATCGATAAATCAGTCGCTCCCTTTTGATGTTTCAGCGCCTGAATAATTGCCGTCGTTGAAAAAACAAGCCTCTTACCTCGAGTCACCGTATATACAGACTTGCACGCGCACTCCTTGATACGGATTTAGAAAACCTTCACCTTCGTCGGATCGACACTTTCACGATAAATTGGAAAGCATCAAACTGACAACACGCTTTGGGTTTGAAAAACTCGCAAAAACTCGAGTATAAGTTTACCTAAGTATAAGATAAAGCAAAACGGCGGAGCGAGTAAATAATCCAAAGGGAAAAATTTTCAGCAAACAATATATGCACACTCACCTCGCGCGCTTGGTCCTCGATGCTGCGCAGCACGGCGAGATTGCGTATCGTGGCTCGCCGGGACTCAAACGACGACTCGAGCCGCGTGGCCGCGTTGCCGACCTCCTCCAAGAGCCTCCGGGCCCGCTCCAGCGCCAGCCTGACAATGAAAACAACGCAACCATTTCATTTCTCTCTCATCTCCCCGACTCTCTTCGTATACATACATATACAGTACGTAAGTAGGTACACCTTCCTACTTACACATGTTTCTCTTCCTCCGATTCTTCTCACCTATGCCTCTCGATTTCTATATGTACCTCGCACTATTGTCATCAGTGCACCGACAATAAACGCATCGCCACGCTGCGTTTTCTCTCGCGTCAGTTTTTTGGCACAAGAGAGATGGATGCGTTTTTCCATGATACGTGCACATAGTGTCGAGGTTTCCAGACAATTTCTCGCGTCTCTGCATTGCGCGTAGTTTTTTTTTTGTTCTCGCTCATTTTTTTCATTGTCGCGCGCTCGCATTGTGCTGACTCGGGAGAAAGGATTCATGGTACCGTATATGCGCGTGCGACTTTTTTTTTTTTTTTTTTACGATGCAAAAGTGCCGGATGTGTTGCACAAGAATGTTTAAGATATACACAAGGAATACGCATCAGGCGTCAACCCGAAAAGATATCGGTTCGAGCAGAGTGTCCGTCTATAAATACCTCTCGTGTCCCCTCCGATGAGAAAAAAAAAAAAAAAAAAAAAAAAGAGCTCACCTGACGTGCTCGACACCCATAAGCGTGGCGGCCCTCTCCTCGAGCGCCAGCATGGCCTCCTCGGCGTCCCTGGCCGTCCTCCTGAGCGTTGGATCGGTAAGCAGGCGATTCAGGGGCGTCAGGCTGCCCGACAGGCTCGTGCACTCCTTCAGCTCGGACATCTCGAGGGCGAGCCTCCGACCGGCCGCCTGCCATTCCGTCATCACGCTATCGTACTCCTGCGGACACGCATTAAGATACAGTCTCAAGATCAAGGCTCTTGCCATCTCCCTCTCTTTTTCGTCTCCAGGTGTCATATTTGCCCAGAGAGATGCCGTTATGCAACGGAGCGTGTGGCGGACCTCCTTCCTTTTTTCCCCTCCCTTTTTAGTTTCGGGCGCATAACGCGCCAATATTGCGGCTGGCGAAATTCGCGCGCGGCCTTTCTTTGAATACTCGCGGGGAAGAGGCTTGACAGGCAGACGCGACTTTTCTTCAAATTTTTTTTTTTTTTTTTTTAATGCACCCAACTTTTCCCTGAGTGCACGCATGGGTTATTGAAGGTGGGCGGCTTATCAGTTTACGGTTAGCTCCCCATCGCCCGAGGGACACGTGGTTTTTTACTTTCCTGCACTGCTCTCAGGGGTGTACGTACATTTCCGATCGTAAAATTTGTTAATGAGCTACATTACATTTAGACAGGTGAGCTGTTAAAGTGTGACCTTGGATTTTTTTCTTTTTTCAAGTAACAACTGTTGACCAAAGGAAGAGATTTAACTGTGTGAAAAATACATACATTGACTGAATTGTCATCCGAAGCGATTATCTAAAAACAATCGATGGCCAATCGGATATAAACGATCAGAATAGCGATCGTTTTGAGTTGGATGTAAAAAGGGAAATCCTGATTACGGCACACTTTATGGAGACGCGCATTAGATAATCGAATCAAGATGCGACGAGCGAAGCACTCCGGTGCACGGGTCTATTATTTCGTTTTTTTTTTCCCCCGCAACATAATCGTGCGTATAATTAGCGAGTAGAGAAAGAAAGAAAGTATATATAAATGACGAAGGGTACAATAACCGTACGCGCGTGTGTGCAGGAAACTAGCCGCCAAAGTTGTAAATCAAAGTATAAGCGAGTACGTTTGGATTGTACGTGCGAGTGTAATTTACGGACTCGGGTGTGGATTATTATTAACACCCAAACGCTTGCGCGTACGACAGACTCCGTAGCGCGAAATTTGAATTCAAACGGTTCGTACGGTATGTTTGCTTTTCGAGAAACTCTCTTTTTTTTTTTTTTTTTCCTTTCATTTTCGAGTATGCCCGTGATTTATGCGCGTAGCGCAACGAATGATTTCAGCGAAATTGGATCAAGCGTGTACTTTCCGGTCTGAGGTACAGCCTGTGGCGGAACTAGATGGGCAAACCCCTCCCCCCCGCCCCGCGATTCGGATCGGTACACGTAGCGCGTGCCGTGGAGAATTCCGATATCAATCGGGTCCAATCAAAACGACAAAACAGCGATTTCAGCTGCCGACAGCGTGTATTCAATTGGACGCGGTATTGTCACGGTGGTTTCGTCGCTCGTCAGAGTCTCCCTTGTCGCAGCTGCGGGATTTTGTCCCGATAGTTGGAAAATTTTCCGTGCCTTGTTGCGTTTGCCACGAACAATGTGGGTGATTGCGAATATATTTCGAGGGATGCGCGTGTATTTGCTTGCTGTGCTCATTTGTAGAGCTCGGGTTTTTAGTGAACCCTTGTTTACTGAACGGGGAAATAATTGTATTTTTCTCTTGATTTGTTTGTTTTGGACCATAGAAACAGATGTTCGATGAAAATGCGCGGGAAAATAAGTTTCGGTTCTGTTTACGGACGGGGAGAAAAAAATACGGCTCCGGAGAGAATGAATAATTAAATGAGTGTGAAAAAAATGGGACCGTACAACTGAGTTAAATGGAAGTACAAAGATTTTTTACTCGTCATTTCATGATATTTTGAGAGACTTTGAGTCACGTATACCCTTGTTTTTTTTCTACAATATGCTCGAATTCGGATTGAAATAACCCAAGTGCAATGAAAATGTCTTGTCATTACTTATCAGGTATGAATACTTTTAAGAGAAATTCTCTCTCTTTTTTTTTTTTTTTTTTTTTTCAGAGAAACATCACGACATTGTCAGAGAAAGTGGTCTCGGTCAAATTAATTGCTCGACAGATGTTTATGATGCGTTGACGGTCATAATGATTGTTGTGTAAAAACTGAGGCGAAAGTACGAGAGTAACTACATTCCTGTTATTTTTAGCACTGAAAGCACGTTGTTCAAAATACAGGAAATGAAAAAAAAAGAGAGAAAGAGAGACAATTGTTCCGTTTAGGAGCAATGAGCCTCTTTCGCGAGCGGTATAGCCCGAAAGGTCGGAACTGGCACCCGTAAATGGCAATAATTCCGCTCCGGTGAATTCGGCGAAAGGCACCGTGCCTGCAGCCGAGCCGGATCCGTCCAGCTGGAAAATAAAACTTGTCCCCCGCTTTGTACCATTGTCGCTTTCGTTCTCCTCCGAATCAACACTACTAGTTTTGATGCCAACATATATTTGCACCTCATTGCGTTTAAGGAGTTGCTTTACTTGACTCAATTATTTTATTTCATTAAACAAGCTCTACCAAAATACTCGTTTCTACGATTTACATCTCGATGTCAATATCGAGAAACCAAACCGCGTAAGGACCAAATTCACGCTCCGTTACAAAACTTCAAACTCTTGCGAAAAAAAAAAAAAAAAAAAAAAAATCTAACTTCACGTCATGCATATACAAGTATCCAATTTAAACAAAAGGCTTACCTTGTAAAAGCCGACGCAGTGCTCGTGGTTGTAATCCACCGTTCGCCTGGGGATGTGCTTCTCGATCGTGTTCTCGTCCAGACTGACGATCTGCAAAGAAGAAGAAGGAAAAAAAGTAACACCTGGTCAATCAAGCGCAGTGGGAGGTTGTTTTTGTTTTCATCTAGCTTTCAAGCTGACGTGACGAAAAATGGTCCCTATGGCGAACACCGTTCTCACGGAGACGACGCTGACGCAGCCCGAGCACGGGATTACAATACATGTTTGACCGATAGTCAGCACTTGAATGTACTGTAATGGCGAAGCATCACACGATTGTTATAATCCTACGTAATTTTCTTTGTTCTATTTTAACGAGCGAGTCTTTCTGAGCATCGACAGCCTCGTGATGTACATATAGGACCAAAGGGGAGCTCCACGTCAATGGAACTTTTTCTCGATCCATATTTCATACCGTGCCGCGTAAGACCATGAGTTACAAGTATACCCACCGCAGAGGACAAACAAAGCTGCCTGCTCCCGCTCAAACGAGGCGGGAAAGCAATATGACTCCCGACAGAAGGAATGAAAACGAGGGGCGCAGGTGAGAGCGCGAATCGAATTGAGCGACGGCCCCTCGGTCCGGCGTATAATACCCGCTGCAGTCACAACAGAACCGATTTCGAGCATCCCCTTTTTTTTTCCTATACTCTTGAAAGGGCACACCGGGTTTTATTGGCGCAGGGGAGAGTAGGTTTGTTTGTTTATTTGTTTGCTCGAGCCAAAGGGAGAAGTGGTTTTCGTTATATGTTAATCGAGCCGCGTGTAATTGCGCCGCAGGTCGATTCGACGCTCCGGCAAGAAGGCGCCGATTTTTATTTTTTACTTTTCATTTTATTCCAACTGCGCTCGCGCGCGTGTGTTTATTAATGAACGAGCGATTAAAATATTAATGGAGATGGGGTGGGGAAAAAAATCGGGTCTACTAGCGAAAAAGCCATTACGGAGCGAGCCGATTTTTACCGATTCGTCGGAAAGGCAGGGGACGAGCGAGAGCGAGGGGAAGAAAAGGAAGACGATATCAGATAAGACGCGCACCCGCGCACCAGTTTTAATCTTTATGCGGTTCTCATTACTCATTCAAAGGGAAAAGCGGCGAGTCGCCCCGGGGTCGTATCGGCGAAACCGAATTACACTCGTTCTGATGTATGCGCATGTGTGTGCGTGTACAAGTGCTGTATACGTCGCAGGTAGTGCGCTTCGAAGCCCCAGGTGATGGAGTAGTATAATAATACCATACAATCCGAGCAGTGGAGCACTGCTGTTGTTGTTGTTGTTGTTGTTGTTGTTACAGGTCGGCATAAGATCGGCACACACTTACCTTGGGATGGCTGCGTGGAAACAACTCGGTCGTCCTGATTTCCGGTGAAATTCGCAGTAGGTAGACCTGGGTTATTTTGACTTTGCCCTGTAATGGAAAATTTCAAGTTGTAACTAATAGTTACCGAATACTACGTGAAAATAAGTGTTTGGCGCGTGCTGTTTGTTTTTAACATTGTTTGTAAATCAAATGTTTTGGTGTCGTCCGACGTAACACCGCCAAGCTTTACAAATCATACAGCTGAATGGTATCATATTTTTAATAGATCTTTGTTCAGGCAACGGCCGGTCCAGCACTTGCTTTGAATTTTCTTGAAGTTACGGTAAGCATGTACACATTTTCCCACTTGAAAAAAAACACCTAATTCCCGGTAACTTTGTACAATTACTATACTTGATCAAATGGCCCATTGAACATTGGGTACAAACACATAGTCTTACAATACAAACAATATAATTTAATCCGCCAACGCCACGTTATATTTCGCAAAAGCATCGAGTACAATCTCCCGATGTATAATGTATGCGAGGATCTCACCTTCAGCAGGTTGACAGCTCGATCCAGGGTGTCGAGCTCCTCTCTCGAGTTGGCGTTGATAAGTAGCGCAAATCCATCCTGCGTCGAATCGGCGCTGCAACAAAACGAGCTGGAACAAAAGCAATTGCATTAGTTAATTGATAAGCAGTGGACGCTGCAAACCCCCCCCCTGGCCCCACTATACGCTATCTGTGTAGAGGAAAAAAAAAAAATAATCTCGCGAAATCTCTCTATTGTAACTCCATCCGAGCCGTATCGTCTTGTATATCCTCATGAAGCTATCAAAAACCGCGGGGCCCCCCGGGGCTGAAATCCTCCCATTATAATAATACACACCCGCGCGCCCGTATATTTCACCGAAGCGCGGAAGTTGCCGATCGAGCGCTCATTTGAGTTTCTCCGCCTGGAGAGGATAAAAATTTCTTGCACCGGCTGCGCGTGTCCCGCTTGCACGTACGCTGCGTATGAAAATTTTCAAGTCAAAGGAGGTGCAGGGCTGCGTTTTGTTGGCCGGTCTCGCGAGTTTCCCACGTTTTCTTCTGTAATAGGTGCGGGTGGCAGCGGACGGAGTGAGATCGCGATGTGCCGCTTTTTCAAGGTCGAGCGTGTGCGTGTGAGTGTGTGTATCCTTTGGGGAGGTTGATCGGATGATGATGATCGTTTCAAGTGTTTAGAAAGTGATGGTTGCTTATGGGTGGGGTCCTCCCATGTACCTACGCCCGGTTTTCCGAAACGCGGAAATTGATTATCATCCGCACGGGTGTGAGAAGGAGGAAACGGGCATTGATTGATTCGTAATTGATCAATCGGTGCACGCGCAAGTAATGGATTAATCGATTGCGTTTGCTTTCGAGTTGTGAGAAATGTGCTCTGATGTAATTGCTCGAGGAAACCAAATTTTTTTCTTAGGAGGAGGGCTGTGTGCAAATTGATAATAATGATCAAACTTTCGTTCCAACTTACGGCAACTCCATAAATGCTGTACACGAAAGAGAAACTGTACACGCGGATACCGTCGCAACGGGACGTATGCATGTATATGTACCCTGTATCATTTTCTCGTTTCCCATTCAATACTATTACGCATATTCAGCTTATCAATCCCACAAATGAGAATCAAACGTTGAAGCGATTGACTGATTTTCGCACAGAGTTTCTCGCTGGCAAGAGGAAACGAGAAGAAAGAAAGAGACAAACAAACCATACGTCATTAAAAACGCAACAACGGTCGGACACAAGTGCAATCGGCGCTCGAATCGAGAACTTACACGCACCGAGAGAAATCTTAAAAGAACGAAGTTTTTTTTTTTTTTTTTCATCTTCCCAATGCATGTGTTCCATACTACGAGCGTGGTATCAACGCTCGGCATCCCCCCGTGTAAGGCTAAGGGGGATACATCTAATCCATCTCTCAATGAGCTATTCAATTAAATCGGCCGAATAAACGCGCCACGATACTCGATCCATTCACTCGGTTCGGCGGGGCGTCTAATTTTTTTTCTAAATTTTTTATTTCCTCGACCCCCTAATCCTGCAGACTTTCGCTTTCGCTACAAATTGTGAGTGATAGCGGACGGCAATTGAATGCGCGTCGTGAATCTTATCTCCGAGCACACTCCGGTCGGCGAGTGGAAATTCTAAGAAAGGTCCGACACGACTGAGGGCGCGTATGTGCATAATAGTGAATTGGCCGAGTATATGTAATATATTGTGTTCCCAAGTGGTACATTATGTGGAAAAATTAGCAGAGATAGAGATTATGCGATTCTGACGAAGCGATCGTATCGCTGTTGGTTGTTGGTAATTGAACCAGTTAATCATTGCTCCATTCTCTCCGAGTTGTCAACTCTCGCTCGTTGTACAATTTAGGGTGTATTCTCGCGAAGATCGATAAATCGACGTGTACGCATGAAAATGAGACGTGTGTTGGAAAAACCTATGATTCAACCTCCTCTTAACGAGTGTGGGAGAGAAAAGAAAACACGCGGTTCTTCGAGTACATGCTTTGGGCGTAATGTAGATCGATAAAATTAATGGAAGATCAAGATGTTGAAGATCGAACGGTCGCGATCGGCCGATTTTACCGAGATGCGATCGGTACACCATTAGCACCTAGAACATTGTTTGACAACGTACACACGGTACACAAAATCTCAGCGCATACGGAAATTCATATGGTGGAAAAAAGGCCCCGAGAGACGGTCGATAAATATTGCCAATCGGTATCGCGATCGGTTGGTTCGTTGGCATCAGCGGCGCGACTAAAGTATCGGAAAAGAAAAGCGCGCTAATTTCGAAACACATCGCCAGAAAGAGAGAGAGAGAGAGAGAGACAAGACTCTCGCGGTCCACATATTATGCACTTAGCGAAGCGATAAATTTCAGTTCCGAGCGCGCGTGTCTAACCTATTTTAAAATACACGAGACACACAGCATTCAAATCGAGATTGTATACACGAGATATGGTTTTTCGATCCTTATACGTGTATATGTATCCCAGAGGCTTCATACATCAAACTCCATCGAGTCCACCTACTGCACGTCTATGTGCAACGTACACACGTGTGCAAGGTCAGCGCGAGGAAGAAAGTTAAAAGCTCAAATGAGGAAAAAAAAAAAAAAAAAAAGTCGAGCCGAAACAGAGCTCGCGGAGGTCAAAGCTGCGATACATGTGAGTATACTCTTCTTTGCGGGGATGAAAAACGAGGGCACACGCGCTAACGAGACCGTATATTATGCTTGCGCGCGGTAGTATTACACATCGGTAACTCATATCGTTTTCTCTCCCTCGTGAAAGGAATAAGTCAATTTCGCTGGATGTACCTATATATATCATATGCATTGTACACCTTGTGCCGTGTAGCACTGTATACTGGTATGAAGAGGATGAGATGATGATGGTAATAATGATAAAACAACGATGGAGATTGCGCGGTTTGAAAATGAGGCGGCACGCGCTTGTACATGAAAGGGAAGGACGACGCCCACGTGCGCGCGGTTGACTGCATATTGTGGGAGAAGATTTCCTAAGAAGACGCGAGGCTCGTCAGTGCTTTTGGTCCTTGTTTTGTAAGGATGATGCGCACGGGAGGGCCTATGTGATGATGGATGGAAGCTATATAAAAGAAACTGGTGGTGCACGAGTGTACAAGTAAGCACGGGTAAAATGAGATGGACATATTACAAGTACGGGTGGGGTGATGTTGAAAATCAGGTGTTTTGATGGACAGTGATTGGGTGACAAAATAGTACTCATGTTTCACACTTCACACTTGCCCTGCTGTTTCTACGAGCGTATATTGTTTACTAAAAATAATTATTGCCAATATATTTTTGTTTGTTTTTCGCACGAATCTATATCTATTTCACTACGAATAACATTGTCCTCCCGTTAAACGCATAAGAGCATAAGTTCAACAAAAAAATTTAAAAAAAACTCCCGAGATACTGAGTATTTTTATTGTTCTTTGGCGCAAGTACACTGGAAACTTTCTCAAAGTACACGTTACGCGTCTATCGACTCGACCCTTCAGACGCAGAGACGATAAAACTCCGAGTCCTAAAAACCAAATTTTACGTCCATGGATGATTTACTACCGCAGTCTCTTTTTTTCCTCCCCTCGAAGTAAGTCCAAAAGCTCATGGTTGCGAGACGCTTGCATGTATTTGCGCAGCACAGCGGCGAACAAGAATTAAAAACTCCAAAGATAAAAAACTTTTTTTTTGCAGTAGCAAAAAACAAGGGACGCCCAACAATATAGCGTATAATTGCAGCTTACGAGCCCGCGGTCTCTGGACGTTAAATGATGAGAGGTAAGAATTAAAGGGATGGATGCACACGAGGCAATATTTGACGCGCCCAGGAGCCGTATAACTCGAGAGAAACGCGGTCAACTGCTCGTGCCGAGCGGAAAATCTTATCTCTCTCCTCTGCATCGACACGCCTCGGATGGCTCATGTTGTAGCGTGAAATATGGTAAAACGAAACATCTGCAGTACGTGTATGAGGACGAGTCACCAATAATCATTGCTGTTTTTTTTTTTTAATTTTCTTTCAATTTAAAAAAAATATAGGTACTCAGAAAAGGATCTGCGAGTGAGATGCCCTAATCAGGTCGACAATCGAAAGTACATCGTAAGATTTTGATTTAGTATCCGAGAGCGCCTGCTCGTGAATTTCTAATTGGAAGCTCCGGTGCCCCGTGGTTTTTCCTTCGTTTCGCAAATTGCCGATGTGTTTCGCGCGTTACGTGAGAAACGCTCGGTCTGGGGATTGCGAGGTTGAAAAAATCGGCGAAAGGGATCTCGGAAAATTCGTGATTGCGGGTTACGGATTTCGCTTTTGGATTGATGATGAGCGTATTCACACACGAGGAGTAATTTTTTTATACACACAATCAGTCAGAGCTCGGACGATTTCACGCCTTGGCAGGTGATTAAAAACGCACGTTTTCAATCACTCCCATCGATGTCACCTTTTTTTATCAAACAAACGCCTTTTCGAAACTTTGAACGAGCACGCGAATAGTGCACGCACCTTTGTGAATCGGTCGGGTGTCGATGATGATAAAATTAGAACAGGTTCGTGGACACGCCGGGAGCGAGGTACCTAGGTATAGGGTTATCGGTTTCATTGAAACGCGCCTGAAATGGAAAGTTATACGCTAAATTGGACACCCTCTCGGCCGCAGCAGTGAAAGTCCGGGGAGACTCGCCACCCGAAGATTAACCGAGTTTTAAGGCTCGAAGACAAACATTGGCGGTGAAAAGAATGCAACGCGGATACTATACTGTTTAGGCAAAAGTGAAACTGTACGAATCGTATAGGAAGTGGGAGCTTTTTCTTTAGTTTTAAGGAAAACCAGAGATTATAACCTATTGGAGTTGCGTAGGTAGGGATATTTGTCGAGTTACCATATCGACCCAACGATGGTTTTTATTGCATCCGATAGGGGCATAGCTATTGAGTGTACTCTGGTGCTTATACGTCAAAAAAGTGTTGAGTTTAATTACAAGTGATATTTTTAAGATGAAAGGAAGAAAAAACGGCGATGAATCGAGGAAACATCCTCGCGGTATTTAAGTAAGTCTCCGTAGAGCCCTGTCATGCCATAGGTTTTCTTTGTACCACCAGCGAAGAATAGCGTGAGGCTTGGTAATTTTTCACGCACACGCTCCCGTGTGTGAGGCACAAGGTAGGGTAAGATATTCAATTATAATTTTAAAAAACGCGGACACGGTAAGCTCGTAAATTTTGATATCAGCACGTCCGACGTAAGTCAAATTTCTCCCCGCATTGAGGCTAGAATCAGAAGCGATTCGTTTCTGCTGTTTCGCGCGCGCGTGCGAGTGTACAGGTTTTTCGAGATCATTAATCCACCCGCAAGTGTATTATGCGCGTCAGGCGGAAATAAGCCCCGATCGACCCGAGCTCCTTCTCTTGCGAATGTCGAAATGCACCTTTGGTGATTATCGAGCCAAGCGGAAAGAGAAGAGAAATATTTTCTCTTTAGATTTAGATGCGTTGTGTGAGTAATTATACATTGGAAATGACAATTGAAAATATTAACATACGTTTTCGTGACCATAATATATTGAATTTATGTGACACACGATTGGCTGGGTGTTACACAGCTTAGTTAATTAACCAAAGGCTGGTTTATATCTAATGAAAACTTGATGTTCCAGACCACCATCTTATTGTCTCGTGATACGAGGTTACTTATAAAGTATGAAGAGTTCCATGAGAAAGAGTATTAATAAAAATGAGGTTAAATTGAAAAAATTTTTTTTCATAACTTATTTTTTATTAAATAATGATAAAATACACGAATGAAAAATTACTTTGGTTCAATGACAACAAATAATTTTTATTCCAAGTGAAAAATGTGGAGCACTCACAACTTGGTTTTGTACATCATTTTCGAGCAAAAAATCTTTGAATCTCTTTGAAGTATAATAATACACAAATGCACGTAAAACACCACATACAGACGTAATGAAGTACCACGACTACTACAATTTAGCGACCTGCGGCAAATAATACAGCCCAAGCAAGCAGCGGTCCAAGATTCGTATGTATATGAACGGGAAAATGATAATTAAGTTCCGGAATGAGAAAGCTGAGCAGCGCGGGTTTCCTCCTCTTGCCACCTCCTCGGTTTTAAAACCACGGGGTAATGCGCATATATAGTACTCTATTTCTCAAGTGCCGAGGCATCGTTGTATTATCTACAGTGCGTGCATGCTTTGTTTTTTTTTTTTTTTTTTTTTTTTTTTTTTTTTTTTTTTTTTTTTCATTCTTAATCTCCTTTCCAGTCAACGCGGGATTTATCGTGATGGCAGAGTTTACGGTATAACTTTCCCTCGGACTCTTTTTTATTGCCCCGACGCACCAAGTTCGTCGAACCGAAGCCAAGCTTGTTCGATCTGTCAACGGAATCAGCAGATTTTCAGCTTCCTCCGGTTGATTGGACTTTGATTTAACGTTGATCTTACGTGCGTATATGAGCACTTCTACAAAATACAGTTGATTGTCACGTATGGTATGCGGAGCACATTAATACGAAGGCGCCTGAAAGCGGGCGGCTCCTTTTTCAGTAAGTAATGGTTTTTTCTTTCAATTTTGTTAAATTGGTTTTTTATTTGCACTTGTTTCAGTAGAGGCTATACACAGAAATCAAAAACATGTCAAAAGTTCCACGTAACTTGAGCTTATTCTTTTAATTGACAAATTTTTGTCAAAATTAACAAACCCGATAAAATGTATAAAACCAGTGGTAACTTTTGTTTACAATGTATTATTTACCGATCCAACAAATTTCATTTAAAAACCTAGATAATGTTAAAAATTACTTTGGTAATCATCTAATCTTGTTTGAAAGAAATCGTAACCAGAAATGACAAGTGGTAAACAGTTAGAGTAGCCATAATTTGATGAACCATTTTTTATTCATCACACAAAGTACATAAACAATTAAAACTTTATTTTAATATTTTTCCAAAATTATATAACTGACGATTTTTCACAGAATTTCTCATACGTGCTGCCAGTACGGGAAGCTCGTAAATTATGCCGCACTACAGGACGTACGCGCAGGAAATTAGAATCGGATTTGATTTGTTTCGCGTTGCGTTTAACGGATTGTTAATAGGTACCTCTGCACGCGTGTGGTGGGTGTGTTTGATCATAAGGAGAGGGTAACCAAAGTAATCAGTCTAAAAGTGACAACTGAAGAAAAAAGGTCTAAAGAAGAAGCACAGTCACACGAAGAGTCTCCTATAAAAATGGAGCATTGGATCTTCTCACTTAATCGGGGAAGGTTGGGTTCTTTTGTTTATTTATAACACTTAAAATTTACTTCTCTTTAATGAATGTACTTTTTATTTAGTGAGATCCACGTAACGATGTAACAATTATAAGCTGTACTTCATAAGTAAATGAAATAGAAACCGTCTGCTTTGCAACTTGTTGTGTGCGCGCTTTCCTGCACTCGTACGTGTGTTTGTGCACGCTGATGATTACTGTTTAAAAAATTAACCGATTGTCAAAACATAATTGGACTCAAGTAACATGATGAAAAAGGGGAAGGATGAATTTTAACATCCATAGTTACTCATGTGTACACAGAAAAAAAAACTACTTTACCTTGATCCCTTTAATTAACATTATACGTCGTATAAAACGTCGATTACGCGTCGATTTTTCAAAAATCCTGATGAAGCACTAAATCTCGCGCTCGGAGGAAGCAAGTAATCGAAAGGTAATTGAGCCATGCACGTAAGCACAATTTCCCCGTTAATTAAGCGTCATAACTCGTGTCGCCTCGTATTCGCATACACATCACATGGCAGAAGAAGAAACGCTGCGTCCGACTCGACCGAGCAGTGAAAACTATCGTTTAAAGACTCGTCGAGAGCACTTCCGAGCGTCCAATTAAAATTAAATAAAACGGCCGACGCCAAATTCAATAAAATCAACAGACATAATAGTATACGCCGTTTAGATGATAAGAAAAATCTCTCGAAGCTCGAATCTATTCGCTACGAAAATTAATGGCACTTTTGCCGCAACACTAATCACCGCGATTATTGTATTGTTATTTAAAAGACTGTATCGATTATGCAGTAGAATAGCTCGGATGAGTCAAAACATAATTATTGACAAAGGGGAACAAATAAGTATAAAAACTACAATTCAAGTGTGTAAGGATATTGCGTAGATCGTTAGTGGTAATTTTTTCTTGGCCATTACTTTGCTAGATTTACACTGTTGTTCATGGATACTACCACGCAGCATCACCATGGAAGTTTTTCGGTATAACACATTGTATTCGTGTTTCCGATAGAATCCAAGCGAAATAGTAGTAGATTTAAGCTGCAACAGGGAGTCATGGAGACCACAAAGTCGAGCGATAAACGATACATGATTTATTTTAGATCCACTTCCTTCTACATTCACGTAGATAAAGCTTTTTTTGCTGATGTAGTTTTGAGAAAATAGATAGAGAGCACATAGATTATGAGATATGTACGAAGACAACCTTTTCCAACACGAAAGTGCGATGTACGGAAGATCCATGATTTATTTAGTCAGATCCTGAATTTACGAACTATCCTAAGATGTCACCTAATATTTATCTGCCGCTGTCGGATTTAATTTACGCCGGTGGAACAGCTAAAAGGTAATTTGATGGCCAGAAGTGAGTGAGGGTACCGTTTGAGAGATTAGTTGATAGAAAAGGCACGAATCATGACTTTGCGATAAAAAAAAAGAAAGCTAGTTGATGTTTTTACTTTAATACACGTCAGTTTAGTCTCCAGGCGAAAGGGTGCCAACTCCAGCTATAGATATGCAGTTTTTTTACTTGCCAATCATCGGTAGATCGGTATAGTGTTTCTCTTATCGGCAAAAGAAAAAGATTGATTTTATTTGTCTTGAAGATCGGTAATTACCAAAGAAATACAACGTCTTACAGGAAAAAAAAGCAAAAGGGTCTCCATCACTTTTGGTCCTGTATCTTGTCTCGCAACTATGCATATACATAAACAATCGTTCCGTCTTTACGAATTAATTGCAACACTGATTGAAATCGTTTGAAAATCGATTCTCCATCCCCCGTATCGATATTTATTATTCTAGACCATGTCCTTTTATTGGAGTCAAGTTCAAGACTATACTATATCATTTCGCTCTGTCCCTTATACGCCAACCTATTGTAAAAAGTCATTTATAATCCCCCACTGTAAAAAACAACTCGAATCGACACGTGGACTTTTGCGTGCCCTCCAAAGACGCCAACTCATTTCTTTTCGAAAAAATTCATCTCACCTACAGATCACACAGCAATAAATCCATTTACTTTCGCTTATACTGTATGAACCAAAGAACTACAAGTATATGTATACATATAGACGCTATGTACGAATTGTTGCACGCGCGAGTGAATTAATTAACCTTTCAATTAAACTCACTCGCTCACCGGCTACGCGGCAACGTTTCGAGATTTGCATCGATATCGAAAAAAGCTCGAAAGAATAATTGCCCTACAGCTTTTATTTATCTCTTATTTTGCAATTAAATTGCGCGTCCTATAATTGAATCAAAGGTACAAATACAATATTTACAGTTTGCGATTTCGATCTCGTGCTATTTCTAGATAGATCCCGAGCCAACTGATTGTACATATAAATTATGTCGTAAGGTATAGGTGCAAGGAAAAAAAAAAAAAAAAAACTTACCTCGGCAGGCGGGAGAGGTAGAAGATGAGCGAGGCCATTTCTCGGGACGAGACGACGTCGCGACGTGACGAGCAGCCGTCGAACTCCAGGACCGGCCTGTTGGCGACGTCCGTGTGACCTGCAAGAACGGTACATGACATTTTAATTGTTGTTACTGTTACATAAAATTTCATAAACAAAAACCTTGTAATTATTAAAAAAAGTATCGTGTTATGGTTATGGCTATCGTATTAGATACACGCAGTCGCAAGAGGGAAACGGACCCGAGAATCGCGAAGCGTGAAAAAATTGAAAGAAAACCAACTTCACTGAATTAATTGCACCCGAGCGCCGTACACATACACCCCCGTTGCATATGCAAATTGAACTTTGCGAACAAAAGGAGAAGGAGAAGACACGTGTACATATAGGGAGGAGAAAAAATAAAATCACGCGCGCGTATCGTCTAAGATAATCGAGCGAGCGCACCAGATACCCCGGCAATTATAATCGCGCTCCGAGATCACGGGGAGGAATGTGCGTGTATGTGTTGCGCATACGTGGCGCATATTACCGCATCGCAATGCGCTTGTAATTGCTCGGATAATATGTAGTCTATAAGGGCATGAATTATCATTAAAGCGACGCGCTTGGCTCTTATACCTCCCCTCGGGCTACACGTGTAGGCATATACCTACTGGTGGATTGATCTTGTACTGCACGTGTACATGGATGGAGGGTAAGTTTTAATATCACGAGTATAATTATGCGCGAGAGTATTTTTGACGGAAGGATTTATGTGGTTTTTCAGAAACGACGTCACACGCCTGTCTGCGTAATATAGCCCGTTGTACTCGGGTCGGAAAAGCTGGCTTTGGGACTGCAATTCCAACAGTCGATTCGAGATTTTTATCTCGTATAGGTATAACGGCGAGGAAATCAAATTTATCATCTTGTTTGGTTGTCCAGTCGTGCGTTTCATTTGCGAAAAACATTTTTGTGGGGGAAAAAAAAAAAAGAAAAACACGGAATTCAAGCATAAATTATACCGTGCTTAATTTATACACGCAGGTATATACGGTACATTGGGTGCATAAATTTTATCCTAGTCTTGCTTTCCGAGATCAATATAGATCACCTGGCCATTTTAAAAATTAAATATCTTTCCCCGTATGCACGCGATTGACAAAAAAAAAAATCCGTGTCCATTAAAAGGTTGCGATCCAACTTACGCACGCACGACGATCGAGAGAAACAAGGCATGAATTTATTGGACGCACGTGACTTTGAGCTAATCACGTTGGGCTCCGAATGTCCCCAGGTTTCCAAGCCCCGTAAATAAAGCTCCGCGATCATATCGCCATTTAAACTTTGATTTTAACGCGAAACGCGTGCTTTTTCCATGAAAAAATTTAGTGCTCATCGAGCCCAGCGATGACTCAAAAGCTCGCGACGCCACAAAAAAAAAAAAAAATACGGGAACGAGTACGCAGCGTTTACATCCCTTGGACCTCCAGCGAACGTAGCAGAGGTACAAGAATAATGATAATGGTAATCGAGGGTGTCATCGATCATTGCACGGGCACCTATAAATACAACAAACACCGCGGATCGTTCGCATTCCGAGAGATCGCGCGCACAACAAGGGAGGGAGATAACATTGAGCCGTCGCTCAACACCTCGAGATAATAATCCAGATGATTATCTGCTGGGCCTCGCGAGAGCTCGGGTGTATATATATATATACGTGTTCTCGCAGTCGCGAGCTTTTTACGCTTTTGCCAATTTGTCACGCTCCTGTCAAACAATGTTTTAGAAAAAAATCGCCTTGTCCTGTATGATCGGTACGAGCCTCGGATGAACTTGGCGATTGTGAGGTGGTAAAAAAAAACCTAACGTTATGTTTAAAAAAAAAAAAAAAAACTACGGTTTAATACCAACGCAATCATCGTAATTAACAAGGTAAACATTGTAAGAAAATCATTCCCGGGCTACAGGTATATACCTTACATTTTCACCAATCGTTAAAATTACCGGTTATTAACTAGCGCGTACGCGTGAAATCTCGATTCCGCAAAAAGAGGGGAAAAAATAAAAATCCTGGCTACCCGGGATGAGCGAAAACGAAAGGAAGGGAAAAAACGAACATACACACGCGAGGGCAACGCGTAATCGCGTAATTATAATTGAGAAGCGTCAGCGTGTGTGTACGTGTACGAGAAGTTCAAATCACCGTATAACATAATCGCGGGAAAAGGCACCCACACTGGCATCTCGATTAAACCCGAATATCTTTCACGTGCATCACAAGTGCAGTATACGGATTACGTTACAAGTGCACCCGTTGACCTATTAAAGCTATACGTGTTTTGCCGAGGCTTCCGACACCCGAGATGAAATTACTTTATCGATATATACTATATACATATAGGTATGCGTCTGAAACCGATGAATTTGAATGACTGACAGCTTTCTGACTTTGTGTTTATTCACGCTTATTTTTTTATAAGAATGATTAGTTGCTTTTTTTCAACTATAATGACTTTTTTTTCTTTTTTTATGCGTGCTACCCCATAGAATTTCTCATAAATTGAGCTTCTTCTCGTTGCAAATATGTTTAACGTTAAAATATAGACCATAGCACTTACTCATTTAGCATTCAAGAAAAAAAAAGAAAAAAATGATACCACCTAAACAAGAGCGTCCACGTATTGCATAACAACAAACGGAATCACAACGGTACAATTGATAGTGCCAATTCACGTGACGAAGCATAAACGTCGGATACCGTAACAGCTAAATCCAACAATGGCCTCGGTACTCCTCCCGTTTGATTTACGACGCATTAAAATTCAAATGCCACTTAAATACGAGAGAGAGAGAGAGAGAGAGTGGGGGGGGGGGGGGGAAACGCATCTCATCTAGAACGGAAAAAAAGACGTTCCGATCCCACTCGGCGGAATCGTAAAATCAAACGACAAACTGTGTGACCCCGGAAGGTAAGCCCCCTCATACAATACATAAATATATATACCCAATACCTCCTTCTAAGCCGTACGCGACTCTCGATCCCGTGATTTACAGTTCATAAAAGTGAATTTTCACTCCGGCATCACGCAGCCGCGGGCTATCCGTGTGTAGCGGTAGATAGCCCGACACACACATACATATTTATATACGTGCACGTGAGATATTAATTAGACGGGGATATTCAACGCTGATGGGATCGAAGAACCGATGATAGTAACAAAAGTTCGCCGGGGCTTTTAGTGACCCGCGACTTGGCACTGATTTTTCTTGTTTTTCACGATGACGATGGTCCAGGCACTCTGTAAATGAAAATGACGAGTCCCCGACGTACGACGTCGGTGCACACGTACAGTTATTCGTACCACCTCATATTTTATTGTTATTGGCGTTTCGTACGGGTTTCTCGAGAGGATGGGAGCAAACAACTTCCAACCGGTTGATTAATTAAAAGCGTAAATCGTTGTCTACGCGAAAACGATCGCGATTATCGGTATACACATGTAAAGTGCTGTTTCGTCAAAAAAAAGCTAATCAGGGTTTCTAAATTTCCACCATTGATCTCGCGAAGCGCGGAAATTTCGCTAAATTTCCAAAATCCAAGGTACTTTCGAAAATTCGCGTTGGCACGTACGAGAGGAGCGTTGCATATACTTACTCGACGTATCGGTGAACGATGGATACGTTTTTTTCCTACATACGAGCACGATGATGTAAATAAAAAATCCCACTCGAGTTAATGGATTTCGGTGGTTACCTCATACACATTGCCCCCCCCCCCCCCCCGTAACAAAGGAACTTTACGCCGAGCAATGGTATATAGTTAAACAACGTATACCCACAGGGGTGGCATGCAGGGGCTGTACCTATGTTTGTTATCAAAAAAGCCACTCGAGCTCTCGTTTTCTCTTTCCGCGAGCCAGACACGGGGGGTTCACGTATGTCATGGTATACATTGCACATGCCACGGCAGGTATGCCTCTCTTGTCACTTTCTCCTTCTTTATCAGCGCGGCGGCCCGTTGAATCGGGCTCTAATATAAAACGGGGAGGAGGAGGAGGAGGAGGCCAACTCGTTTTCTCACACCTCGCTCGCTCGTTTCCTGCTATCGGCACCTTTCTTCTCCCCGGGTCCTTTCCCCCCCCCCTTTCTTTTTTTTCTTCCTAATTCCTCAACCATATACACTTATCGCTACTTAATGTACGCGGGCGCGCATTCGAGTCCTTTTAGCTGCGCGTATAAATACACGCATGTGCAATCAATCTCTGGGGCACGTGATGCGCTGTAGGTGTTTAGACGCGCAACTGTGACTTTCTACTCAAACATTCGTGAATTTGTACTCGCGCAATGTACGGTTGGGTGGAGCCCCGAGAGGGGAATGCGGAGTTATGAAAAATTCCTTTTCCAACGCGATAAGCATATTGTATTGTATACGTGGCTGCACGCATCAGGGGACTGAGTGTCTTTGCCGACGCCGTTGATGACGAGGAGGGACGGAGAGGCTGAATTTAATGTGAAATCGATGTTTTTGCACCATACGGCTCGCAATTACGTCAGCTGCGTTGATACCTTTGCATTGAACGTGTGTAATGGATTTTTCGTGTTGGTGTATAGGTATACTTAGGTATGCGGGCCTCTGCTGTTGCGGTGCAGCTTATGAGCTCGATGGGAGCGAGGATTATCGATGGTTTTATCGGAGCTCGATGGAACTCATTGAAAATTCAACAATTTTAAAAAAAATTTTTTTTTTCTAAATTTTTTGCTAGACATCAATTTTGGAAAATGATAAAACATTGTACTGTACTTGTTTCATTCATCGAAATAACTATAAGAATTTATCGGCTATTTTACGTAACAAGACCATTATAGATGTTATATACCGCCATCATATAGTGATTACACTCGTTGTTTTGTATATAATCGTACAAAGAAATACAAATTGTGACATCCTCAGTTTAGAGATTTAAATATTTACTAATAAAAAAAAAAAAATTAAAATATGTATGAATAAACCACTATCCTTTTTACCTTTTTATTAAACGGTTAAACATAAGTTCTACGTTTCAAATTCACGAGCTTATATTTTCAACTAAAATTTTTAAAAAATAGTTAGCAATAAATACATTGGCAAATAATTAGGAAAACTTTAAGTCGTCAGATCAATTTATTGTGACAGTTTGGAGCAAGTGAGCTTGTTTAGAGAAGAAAAAAAAACACACACACACATTCACAATATCTGTCACTTGCGTGGATGGACAATTTTTCAAGATGGATTGTTCAATTGCTTGAAATCGCTCTTGGTGTTTGAATTCATCATATGGGTCCCTTAAGTAACGAATTTCTCTCTTAACGAGGATGAATCCCAATAAGTAATCGTACTTCCCATCGAACCGTTCTTGTGTACAATATCGAACGGTGAAAGGCCCGTTACAAAAAATGTACACACCACACTGGTGTGCACTCACGCATGTAATACAAAATAAATAACAACGCGGGGGGGGGGGGCACTCGTGCAAGAGGACGTGTATACACGTGCGTGCGCGGGTGTGCCGTTCAGCTTCCGCATTTATTATATGATATACACTGTCCTCTTGCTTCGGTGGTGCGCGGCTTTTATACACGTGTCGACGTACCTGTTCTCGCGAGAGGAGACGACGGCTCAAGTGCAGCCGGGCCCGATAATGTTTGTCGCGTGCGGTGCAACAAGCGGGCAAAAAAAAATACATTTCTGATATATGTATCACAAACTCGTTCCGTCGCGTTGTACGAAACGTCTGAGGTATTCGATAAGCCCAGCTCTGCTCGCGAACGTAAAATTGTCACTTGCTATGCTTACATGCGGATGGATGATAAATAATGTTTTGAACAAAAATTTTGGCAAGAATATATACTACGACGACGGGTAGGATTTACGTGCTCTTATGATTTTTTTTTTTTTTTTTTCTTCAACATTCTTCAATATTCTGCGGTTTTACACACCTTCTTTGAAATTTATATGGAATAAGGACAGTTTGGTCTGTAACGAAAAATATTTAACACTAAATCTAAAACTACGGAAAAAAAGTAATCACAGGGAGGCTTACACACCCCTTGCTTGCCAGTCAAAAACTACCCCATTAATAATTTAATTTCATCATTTTTTTGGTTACGTAGGACACTACTCAGAGTAACGTTTTCGAGAGCAAGCCTTGGGTCCCAAACACGAGCTTCGATTCCCACAAGTATACTTACACTATGTACCGATCAAACCACGCAGATCGACTGATCGGTAATTATTTATTCGTGGTTTATCGAATGTAAGTGTTTCAGCCACTTTTTATCCATCACTAGCAAACCAACAGGTATATATAATTTTTTTCGTCTGCCAATCAGGAGAAGGGTACGTGATACATTGTTCGTAAGACCATTGTGCACGTGTCATAATATTTCAGCACCGATCGGTGAAGGGGAAGAAATTGCAAGCATCGACCAACAACCGCGTAAAAAGACCGTAGTATTATATTAATCGAAAAAATAAAGAGCAAACCCTTATCCGTCTACAAGCTCATGCGTACCAAATGAACTCCCGGTGTAATTGTACTTTCAACGCGAGATTCCTCGATCTCCGTGGGGCCTCCCCGGCTCTCGCACACTCCGCATACCCACACACTAACGGATCTCGCTCGTATTGCACACGCAGCTTATATATAAGCCCACTCGGGTGTGCGGGCGCTCTTTTCATCGCGCGAATAGATGATTGGACGGCTTTGGCCGATTGTGCGAGGGGCCCCGTATCAACCGCGCAATACATTATGATATACGTGCACGCGTGCGAGCACGCCGCGCGTTGTTGGTATAGATACACGAGTGATTGCGATCACGCGCAGCGAAGAAGAGCCCACCAACGTTCAACGAGGGTTTGTTGTATACGTTGTTGTTGCTTCGATCGATGTTCAGGAGGTATACCTGTGTATCGTTTCTGGATTTACATTTGTGCGTATTGTACCCTTGGCCCATTGTTTTTTTTCAAGGGTAATAACGATTACATTTATTTTAATCAAACGAATTTCTCCAGTTTTTACATAATTTTGATAATAAACATTGGTAAGAGTGCAAATAATGACAAACCTGGCAGCGACAGGCCACAGTTGAGGGTACGGTCGGAGATCTCGAGTATGCTCCTGGGCGGCGTCACCTCGTCTATCCGCTTCTTCGTGCCTGAAACACACAGCAAAAACGAAACGCTCGTCGTTATTGTTGCAAAACTCGTTCTTACACACACATGACTGTATATGCGCTAATCTACACCCTCGCATCTTTGCGGGTTCAAAGGGACAGCGCACTATATTGTACGTATACACAGCGGAGAGTTGAATTTTGTTTATTCCTCGTATTCATCGAAAACAACCGTATATAAATTAGGTACGGTGTTATAAATTTTTCTTTTTCTCCTCCTCACTTGTAATAAGACGAACACAGGAGGGGTTGATTTGCTCGGTGTTATGTGAGCGAAGCGATTTTTGACGGGGATTACCTTGTCGTCGCTGGATCTCCAGAGGATAGGGGGATTGACGTATGGAGGGAAGATCGAAGAAAGTGATATACACTCCGCGGGGTATTGCAAAAGGTCAATTATTATCGAGCCGCTCGGGCTGTGACGGAAGGACCTCTCGCTTTTCCCTCTAAATTTTAATTGGTCGCCTATCGACGCGAAGGAGATTATTTTTTCTCTCTATACTCCATACTTGGGATTCGCGTGCACTTAAATTTCGAAAAGCCCGACAAGTCCCTCATTTCGTCTGGTATTTTTCACGCGATCTCGCGTATACGTATAATTACAGCGATTGATTTTTATCCGAGCCCATCAAACGGTTTGACGTCTCACTCGGGCCCACGATGTACTTTTCCCAATTCACGGAAAAAAACGAAAGAGCTCCCCGAACAGGCGGAAGCCGAAACAACGCGTCGTATAATATATTGTACACAGGCGTGCACGAAAATCCCTGAAACACCGCGTTATTTACGAATCTCTCCCGGCCATGATTCCACCTTCTTCTTCGAAGACCGGAAAAAAAGGGGGAAAAGCGCATCCCCCTCGTGACAGCTCTTGATCGACAGCGTAATCGATCGGCTCGCGAGCGCGACTCAAACATCCCGCGGCATATCGCTCCCGGGGTTTCTCCTCGACTGTGTAATTTCAGCCTTGGCACGCACAGCGAGGTTCTTGCGCCTCTTTCCTCTGATGTAGCTGTTGGGTCACTCGGAGCCAAGGCACGCCGTCCTTTGGGGCTCTGATTAGGAAAATCTCGTTTTTTTGCCATCACCATCTCGGTGTTGTGTGCAACGTTCAGGAAAACACACACGCGAGCGTGATTATTCATTGTTTCGCGGAAGCGCTTGTTTTGTCTCGTTTTTTTTTTTTTTCCTCGTGACTTACGCTCTCGCGAAGAATAATCATGTTCGCCGTGGCCTTCGATTGACGAAAGCTTTTCTTTTCCCGCCACTCGAAAATTGAATGGATACAGCCCGGGATTCGAGACAAAAGGGAGAGAGAGAGAGAGAGAGAGAGATTTATTAGCAGAATCTCGTGAAAATTTCGTCACGGTGGGTACGATAATTTCTGATTTATTACGTATTGGGCAAGGCAATCATTGTGTTTGACGATCAGAGAGTCTTGTACTCTGCTGGAACGCACATCGAATACCTTTCGTCACCCTCGAAAAAAATCGGATGCAACGGAGGTGGAAAAAAGTACCCCACCCACGAGTTTTTCTCACGCGAATCTTGTAGTTTCGCGCGGAATCAATCTCTCACGCCAAGACAAAACTACTTGCACGAACTGTACAGCATTGGCTCGTTTATTTATTTTTTTTTCTTTTACCACCCTGTCCCCTTGCTTTTAAGACAGTACAGGCTACAAGCTTCGTTTGTTCCGACAAACAAGAAGAGAAAACATTTGTATACTCTCTATCGCCGAGGATTTGTCGTTATTACGGCGTTACTTGTAAAAAAAAGATCCAAGCTTGGCAACAGTACTTCGCATGGAGGTACAGTTACGAATTATTTACAGCCGTGCCGCTCGCGCGAGCTTTTACAGGCAATTAAGACCCTAAAAACTCTCCGATCGAACACTTTATTATTACGATCGCGCATCGTGGCCGATCCTCCGCGTCCCATCATTTATTCATCGCTCCTCACTTTCTCACGCGCTAATGCGGCTCGTGTCCTGCGCACCTATACCCGGGGAAGGTCCTTTGGCTCGGCTGATGGGCGTAAATCACGAGTCGCGCGGAAGTTGCGGGCAAACCTCTGTTGGCGCGTAATTTCGAAGATGCGCGCTTCCGAAGAGAGACAGGCTCGTTTAGCCGGAGATTTATACCCGCGCCCTGGAATTCCGAGCGTGCACTGTTCCGAAGGATCAAATAAGGGGGAAGCGCGGTGCCTTTGGGACGAGAAAGTATATGGTAATTCCTGTCGTGGCGACGTCAAGCCGATGATCTTGAGAAGAAATTTTACGCAACGCGTCGCCCCGTCCTCGTTAATTTGTATGGTTACACCTTCCCCCCCCCCCCCATAACTAAAACCTGATCAAATGGCCAGCGAGAAACTCAATTTCCAATGGAGTTCCTGCAGCCGCAATCTCCGAAAGGACCCGGAGCGCAACGCCCACCAAACCGCAATGTACTCGAAAGTGAAACGCGAAATCAATCTTCCCACTCAACAACGACAGGGAGTGAGTGTATGTACGAGCCCATCACTCTCTCTCTCTCTCGGCATGCAGGTATATCCATCACTTGAATCGGGTCAAGGGTAGCGGTGGGATGTCAGTGGCGCATCATCGTCGTCATTGTCAACTGCGACATTGTACAATGTATATAACAGGACGGATGCTCCGCACGATGATCAGAGTGTTCCGCTACTTTTTTTTTTTTTGCCCCGACGCTCAAGGACTCTCGGGTGAGAGTTAATTACACCGGCTGGTCCTCTGTACTCGTGTATATGCGTTGTCGCACATACAATTCGCGATGCTGATGGGACGGCCAAGGATTAGCTTTTTTATTTTGCAAAAAATGGTAGGTTTGCTATGAGACGTGTAGCTTGATTAGAAAAAAGTGGACCAAGTATGTATGGAAATTTAGACGAAGCCATGTGTTATCACGTTGTTCTTTGAGTGTGGGACTTTTTCTACTTTTATTTGTACATGACCTTTCATTTGAACTCTCTGTAAAGGTACGTGTGTTGCGTTATGTGTGGACAACAAGGGTGAGGAGACAAAGCAAAAATTTGGGTAATAAGTGGGTGCATTGTATCCAGCCTATCATGATGCCTATACATTTTGTCATATTTAACAGACACGTGAATTTTATCGATTGATGAATACAATTTTTATGAGCTTACGAGGGGATGATTGATTTCGTAGCTGTAAAAATGAATGTTACGCTTCGTGGGCGGATAAACGCAGAAAAATCATTCTCGAATAAACATGAATGTTGTATGACAATAATCGATAAATAATGGCACAGGAGATTCATGCATTCGTGTAATGAATGGCGTCGTAAATTTGTCCCGTCCAACCGAGAGTCATCTATTACAAGGAAATCGATGGCTTCTTTATTCTATTCGGAGCGCGAAGTCGTCGACAGAGTAGATTCAGTTAGACGCGAGGTACTTTTGCGTGTGGTGTATATAATATATTCTCTAAGGAACAGCTCAATTTTGAGCTGCATATAAGTACATGGGTGTGGGTGTGTGTGTGTGTGTAGGCTTACACGCGCGGTTTTCCCGCTAATTGAACAACTCGTTTATAATAGGTACACTCATTAAACGCTAAACAAGATGCTAACGGGGCATTATTGGCGCGGAACGAGGAGGTGAGGAGAAGAAATGTGTATAGAAAAAGAAGCTGTATACGAGGCACCACAGAGGAGTTGTGGTTTACTTGTGTAATGAAAAAAAAAAAAAAAGAAGGAGATCCGAGTTTCAGTGTTTTTATGAACAATTGTGTATAAGTACACACGCCATAGCAACGGGAATATATTATGCATAGTCAATGTAACACAATGAGCAATTCAAATACGGCCGATCGTAACGGCAATTGTTTTTTTTTTCTTTTTTTTTTTTTTTTTTTTTACAAAGTGAGTCGTCACTTTTTAGTTAAATTGAAGTTGTTTGCTTTAGTTACACGTTGTCCTTATTTCTCACAGTTTTGGTACTCAATGTTCACCAAATGATTCAAACCGTCGAATGCCTCAACAAAGTGTCAAACAATACTTAAACATCAGTAAAAGCCATCGTCACTTTACAATTGTTGAAACACTTTTAGAAAAATCAACCATTCACGGAGTATGTATATTAAGGATAAACGAGAAATACATATGTATAAAGAGGTTCTGCAAGTCACACTCAACTCGAGCAATGAATTAACGACCAAAAAGTCCCGAAAACGCCACCGTTTATGCACACACGCATACCTACTCACACTACTCGATTCTCTGCATGATAATTGCACAGCAACAAGATCGTTGATACAAATTTTTTGTTGCTCCCTCTCTCTCCGCGCGCGTAAGTATGTACACGCCATACAGCCGAACTCCAACGCTTCGAGCTCACAGCATATACTTAATACGCATTGTTAGATGTACATACATGTATACCTTTCGATGCGATGATCAGCGACAAACTATCTTTCCCTGCCCATGAAACGTAAATCTCGAGTCGCCGCAATAAAATAACAGTGTGTACAGCCTTCGTGACAAGTATACAAGCATCGAGAGAAAAAAAAGGGGGAGAATTCGGACCAGGAGATTATTCCACTGACGCAGGAGAAAACAATGGGGTCGTGACCGAGTGCAGTCTTCTTTTTATCATTATTATTATATTATGTTTTTTTTTTGTTTTTTTTTTTTGTACTTCCTACGTAAGTATGTTTGGTCGAAAAGGGAAGGCCGTTTATCATTTAGTTACATCGTGTCTTGCTATTGATCTCTTGGGTTGTCGTGAAACGTTCACCTACTTCACAAATGACGAAGAAAAAGTGCAAAAAAAGTGCCAAATTATTGACATTAATTTTTTTTTTTTTTTTTTCAATATCATTCCATTAATTAGGAAAAAATTGTTTGCGATTCAACGATTTATATAATACCATTTAGACCAATTCCTCTTATATATAATACGGTGCTCCGAGGAGCTGTTGTTTATCGAGGGTAGACTTGCGAAAA